CAGAAGCAGGGACGTCATCCAACTGCCTCCCGCCGTGGTTGGAGACCATGATGCCCTGGACCTTGTGCTTCACAGCTAACTCCGCGTCCTCCTTGGTCAAGATCCCTTTAAGAATGATGGGCAGCCGCGTTACGCCCCGAAGCCAGGAGAGGTCTTCCCAGCAGAAGGATGAGTTGATGGGCGACATCTGCAGATAGGGCGTCGCGTTTCTCTGGGGGGGAACCAAAGGCAGCCTTAGTCTTGAGCTCCTTCCAGGCGGCCTGACCCATCCCGAAGAAGAGGCACGCCTGGAGAGCCACTGGATGGCAAGCGAAAGGAAGCATTGATGAGTTTGGAAAGAGCAGCTACGAAAACCAACCCCACTTCTGGCTCCTTTTCTTTACGAAAATAATTTTATTCTTCCGTCGCTTGTTCGTTAACCATTCACCGCTCCCCTGTTCAATCCTTATGCCAGGATCTGGGGACACAAACACGGCTAAGACACAGTCCTTATGTTAAAAGGACTCAGAGTTTAGTGAGATGGATAAGCAAAAGCATTTATAGGCCAATGTAATGTGCTCCAGTTGAGACATACACAGGATAGTAACAACGAAGCAATACTTCAATAATCCTAAGTCAGATATTATGCAATATTGACCCTTGGCTGACCATGGGCACCAAGTATCCATAAATTCCTGGAATCTGACATAAGGATTCCTGAAAACCTCAAGGCCCAGTTGTGTATGACTTACTGAGTAGAACTGTCAGCTGGATATCACAGCTGCCCACTGACTGAAAAGTCTGGTGTCACTATCTCTACTGCAGCCAGGGAACTGCAAGTTTACCACGACTTTCTCTCTGGGGCACTCCACCCATCTGACTGTAGGATTTCAATGGGCAAAGTGCCCTTTGCCATCACCTAGTTCAGAGATTCCAAACAAATACATGGTTGCACCCCGGTGGTCCCTGGATGAGGTCCAGGTGTGCGGAGAGATTGACCCCTCATTTCTCAGGGCAGCAGGGTGGGGCCTGGGCTGGTCACCTTGACTGTGAGCATCCCTGTCAGGGGGTCAGTTTAGCTAAGCGTGCCGTCCAAGATGATTGTAGAAAATGTTGGAAGAACTCGTTTATTGTACTCTCTCATCCATGCAAAATCCTTTCTGTAGTTTTCTCAGCACTGAGCCCTGGCCAGAACACTTCTGGTGACAGATGGGACAGCTCCAGAAGTGGGAACATTTTGACTGGAAGCTCTGGGAAGCAGGAGCCAGGTCTGACTGTGAACGGCTGCATCGTCGGTGCCTGGCACAGGGCGGGCGCTCAGTGAATTCTTGTGGGAAGAAAGAAGGGAGGAACCAAGGAAGGGCATTTGCTTCTGTAATGGCTGCCCACTGGACCTCGTGTCTCTCCTACCTCCTTAGGTGACCGAAGATCCTTCAGCAGTAAGTTCGTCTTCAGGTTCAGTTGGTTTCGGATGTCATGTCGCCTGTTGCCGAGTTTGGGCACATCCACGGTGATTACCAGAGCCCTGAAACCCAAGGCTTCTACCCTCTGGACCAGCTGTTTGTTTAGCTCCCGATCTGGTTGCACATAGAGTTGGAACCACCGGAAGCCTCTGGGGGCAGCGGTGACGATGTCTTCAAGGGTACAGCTCGCATACGTGCTGGTGACGTAGCAGACGCCGGCCGCTTGGGCAGCTGCAGAGCAAAGGACACAGATGAGGACGGAGAAGCCCTGGGAGTCTGCGCTGCCCTGGCCAGCTTGACCTGGGAGTGAAGATAAGGCTCGACTTGCTTCTGCCTCCCCGGGGGGCAGGGATCAATCGGACTGGGAGGCCTGAAGCCGCCTGGGTCCCCCGTGTGGCCCATCTCCTAAACCCTCTGCTCCATATGGAAGTACTTCCAGCCAGAGAAGCCATGTAGGGCCCCAGCCTGTGTTGGGCACATTGCAGCTTTCAGACAGGAAAAGGGGCTTCTCCTGAACTTGTTCCTGAAGCAAAAGGGAATTCGAGGGACAAAGGATGAGGCAATGCAATTCCCGTGGAGAAGGCCGAGGTCTGTGGTGGAAAAAGCACGATGTCAGAGCTTAGAAGAATGTTATTTCTGCCCCTTCTTGGCTGTGTGATCTTGAATCTCGCTTTCCTTATCGTAAAGTGGGGAAAATACCTCTTACCGGGTTGTTGGGAGATTAACTAAGATACTAGATATGGAGCATTTTTTAAATTACAAAGTGATACGCTGTACAAATGCCAGTGACAGTGACGTTGATGATGACGGTGGTGATAGTGGTGTTGACATTGCCGCTGCATTGGATATTTCTCCTTTCCTACTCTATGCATTGTCAGTGGGATTCTCCAACAGGTTAATGTCACTACCATCCTACAGCCCGTGGGCAGAGGATTTGGCCTAATCAAACATTAATATTTTTAATTCCCAACATCAACAGGAGATGCCCCGTTCTCTAGCTCTACATCCAAATCAACACAACACACTCAACCACTGAGATTTAGCAAAGTGGCCACATTCATAAAGGGTGTTCACATTTCGACCTTGCCAGGCTTGGTTTCTAAACCAAACGATGTCACTTTCAGCTCTAGGATCCCTGGATTCATCGCTTTCTTCCTATAGCCTGAAGTCAAAGGAAAAGACCCCCAAGGAAACTTGCTGAAAACAGACTAAGCCTAGAGGGAAGCTTCCAAAGGAGCCGCAAGACTATCTGTAACCCTGCTGTACCCCTTCCCTTTCCTTCCCCTTATTATTTTTGGTGGGGTGAGGGTGGGGGTACAGAAAGAGGGCGTCTAGGAAGGGGGCATAACCCAGTAAGAAACCATCAAATAAGATGATAAAGTCAATCGAGCAAAAGCGAGTTGGAACATTTGGACACAACACCTGCCAGGGCCTTGTGTTAGGACCTAATGTCCTGACGCTCTTCTCATCCTAAACTCAGACACTCACCACTCAGCCCCGTGAGGGGTCAGAGAGAGTCCTACCCCCAGGACCACGTGGAGCATCCTTCCCCAGACAGTGGGAGTCAGCGGGCCAGCGCCCCCTTCTGGGAGATGGCTTGGAGGGATTTTGCACCCTCCTGTTTATCAGCAGCCTCTCTACCCTCCTATCCACTCTTTATTATGGAAAACAGGTATTTTTCTCAGTCTTAGGGAAGTGTTAGGTGAACAAGCGTGAAGCAGTCCTTTTCCCACCCTCCTCGATTCCAACCATTTGCCTTCCCTAAGCCTCTCCGGGAAACCCTGGAGCTGCCCGCCCTGCTGGAAGGATGCCTCCTGCGCACAGCAGGGCCCCCGGGAGGGAGCCCGCGGGGGCTGCTCCCACCTCTGGCTGTGCTCATCTCCCCGTCAGGCCAGGCGAGGCAGTGGAAGCCTGTAGGTGAGATGCAAACGGGGGCACTGATCTCCTCCCCTTGGATGGTGGTTCGGGTGTCCACCTGCGACACATCTCTCAGGTACCGGGGCCGGAGGCGGATTCTGCGCTGGACAACAGAGATTTCCAATTGGTGGCGTTACTCTCCAGCACCCAGGGGAGGTGCTGCCTGCCGCCGGGGCCTCCAGGTTCCTCCAGGTGGAGGTGGAGACCAGACTAGGTCCCCAGAAAGCTCTGGCGAGGGTCCCTTGGCTGGCAGCTAAACAGGCAGCATAGGCCGCTGGAGGCCCCTCTCCTCCGGGAAGCCTCTCCCAACCCCATTCCACACGCACCCGCCTTCGGTGCCCTCCCACCGCCCACGTGGTCCCCACCGGCCCCAGCCTCGCTCCCTCGGAGGTCTGCGTCTCTGAGCTGGGCTGCCCTGACCAGACTCTCAGTGTTGGGACGCTCCCGCCAATTTATCAGAACAAGGACCAGAAGGGAAGGAGTGCGATGCAGAGTTCCGGCTCTTCCCTATGGGGCTAGATCAATTCTCTGAAGGAGGGGACAAGGCCCAGGGGCTGAGCATGACGGTCCTTTCGCTAGAGGCTGATTCATTTGAAGATCTGACTTAAATAAGGCTTTAGGAGAAGGTAAGGACATTTACCAATGACAAATGTATAAAACATTTTAAACCCAATAGACAGTTAGCCTGAGGGTCCAAAATTGCTTGTCTTTCACAAAATATTATTGTTCTTGTGCACAAATTTAGAGAGATTTTTCTGGAAATACTGACTGTGCAAACTTGGTCAGATAGGCTCAGGTCCTTCATGCCTGAAATGCAGGAACAACCCAAATTTCTTAAGAGTCTTGTGAAGACAGAATAAAATAAAGCAATTAAAGTGCTGAGTACAGAGCTAAACAATTACAAAAACACAGAACAAAGTGTTTGCCTGTATCCCGACCTCTCTGTGACAGGGGTCAGCAGACTTTCTGTAAGAGGCCTGATCGTCAACATTTCTAGGCTCCATGAACCGTATAGTTTTTGTCACAATGACTCAGCTCTGCTGCTGTAACGTAAAAGCACCATAGGTAACAGGTAAATGACTGCGCACAGCTGTGTTCTAATAAAACTTTGCCTACAGACACCGAAATTTAAATGTCATGTAATATTTGCGTGTCACAAATTATTTTTCTTCTTTTGATTCTTTCCAATAATTCTATGAGGAAATAAACCATCCTTGGCTTGTTCACCATCCAAAATATGGCGGTGGGTCTGACTTGGCCTGTGGGCTGCTGTTTGCTGATTTATGCTCAGCCCCCTGCTGCTCTGGTCCAACCTTCTGCCTTGAATCAACCTTCCTACGTCACCAAGACTCCTTGGGTCTCCATGTCCCCTCCCACCCCGAGTCCCCTCCTTTCATACATTCTCTCCTCTAAGCCAGGCTTCTCCTCCCTGCCCAGGGGGACTGGCAACCTTTGGACCCTGTCCTGTTTTCTCAGGTGACGAAGTTGCTGAAATGCAGAGGGAGGGGGACTTATTTGTGCTAGATCTGCAGAGGCACTAAAATAAATTCTCTCTCCAGCCATCCTCTCCCCAGCCACCTGTGCCCCCAACCCCAAAACACCCAAACCCAAAAGGACAACACAAAAGCCATTGTTATGTCCGAGGCCTCTGTGTTGTTTGTGGGCAGAAACCAGGCCTGCTCCCCTCCGAGGAGCTCTGAGCCAGCGCCCCTGAGTTGAACCACAGAAAGGATACAGAAGACCAGACTTTTTAAACGCCGCGACGTTGTCCTCCAGGGTGAAGCCTTCCCCAGCTCCACCTTCGATATAATCCCAAGTGGACTTGGACAGACGCTCCCGCGCATGGGCCTCGAAGTCTGCCAGACACACCACGGACATTTCTGGACCTTCAGAGGGAAAACCAAAAGCAGACCACCAAGCCCAGTAAGAATATTTCAGAGGGAGAGGAGACGGTGGAGGGGGCTACAGCTCGAAGCTGTTTGGATTCATCAACCTCATGTTCTTTTTTATTTTTTATTTGTTAGTTTGTTTATTTATTTATTTAAGACCTCACCTGAGGATTTTAAAAAGCTGAACTTTTTTTTTTTTTAAAATTTTTAAAAATTCCTTGGCTGGGTTGCTCATCTTGAGACCAAGAAGACAACATATCGCCTCCGTGTGTTCCCATCCCCACTCTGAACCTGCAGACCTGGAGCCTGGTACTTCTGGAAGTGGAAGGAGGGCAGGGTTTGGGGTGACTCCCTCCCGGAGGAGGGGCGAGAGCAGTGGGACAGAGGCGCAGAGATGCTGAGGCTCGGGTGGCAGTGAGTCACAGCGCCTAGAGCTCCTGCACCAGAGGGTTCCACCAGGAAGGGTGATAAACCTGTAGGTCAGAGCTCTGAGCATCTTCCAGCCGTTGGCAGTGGCATTAAAATGAGCCAAAGGCTGTGCGTAGAAACCGAACGACTGACATCATTGAGGGAGGGGGGTGAGCCCCAGGAACTAGGGCTCCAAACTCAAATGGGGCAGCCCCTGCAATGGACGAGGGGGCCATGGAGGCCAGATGAAATGTGGGGTGCTGGGAGTCTTGGTGGGGGTAGGGATAGGGCAGACCTGGCCTGAGGGCATCCGGGGGGGGCGGTCACAATCTAGTCAAGTCAAAGAGAGAAGTAGCCCCAGACACCTACCTACGCAGGGCGCTAAGCAGAAAGATGGTACGTGGCAGACAGAAGAAGCCAGAGCCCTGGGATACGCGGTGGGCCCCGGATGCAGGCGACAGGGAGGAACAGGGAGCACAGCCACAGAGCTTTCTGTGTGGGTGGCCAGGGAGCTGTTGAGGCGCTGAGCTGAGTTTGACAAAGTTCAACAACCATGTCTAATTTATCTCCTTCCCGCCCAACCAAACCCTTCAGGGCTTGGTAAGTTCAGTCGGATGAATTCATCACTGAGTTCACCCAGCTGCACTGCGACTGCTTATTTCCAACTCTGTGCGCAAAAAGAGCTAACGCAGCAGCCTGAGGGCGCTGCCCGGGGAAAGGCCTGCTTGCAAGGCTGGCCCGGGGCTGGGGGCTGGGAACGTGGATCTCGGGAGGGTTCCTACGGTTCCCTGATGAGACCGGCTTGCTGTGTCTCGGCGGTCTGTGCAAACATATGCTTTATGCTGAGCAGCTGCTTCCCCTCGTAGAGGCTGGCATTTTGATACCTGCTAGACAGAGAGTGTCTATAGGACCAGCCCCAGCACCAAAAACACCTTGGCACCGAGTCTCTAAAATGAACTTCCCTGGCAGCCAACGATTCACAGGTGTCGCCACCGCTCTCTGCTGCAGGACTCAAGCGCATCCGAGTAACTCCACTGGGAGGGCCCTGGTGGGGCTCACACCGAGCTCCCTGCAGAGTCCGCCCCCGGGCCTCTTCTCTGCTGGTTTTGCGGTTCCTCCTTCACTGTAGTGAATCACAGACTCCACTACCTGCCGTCTTCTTAGTGAATCGCTGAACCTGGGACCCCCAATACACTCTATCCCCAGGTGTTAGGATGGTATGCGACGCCGAGTGGCTATCAACGTTCATTGCTTGAGTTTAACGTTCCCCTGTCTGTCATCTCTCTGCCTTGTTGGAGAATTCTCTACTGCATTTCAACTGTGGGTGAAAGAAGGGTTCTGTGGAAAGTAACTTCACGGGTGACCTGATGATAAATTCCTGACTGGGCAGGTCATGGTGGGTAGTCACACCCCAGGCTTATCTTTGCCTTAAGCCAGCCCTGCCCATTGTTTCTGTACATCTGGATCAATGCACCATTGAAATGTCCCTTTTTAACACCCCCCCCCCTTTTTAAGGCACGAACCACCCTTTCAGATCATATCTTCTAAGAGGTAACCACCCCCAAGAGAGCAAATAAGCTTAACTATCCTGTTATCCAATCCCCGCCTTGCTTTCTCCCACCTCCGTGTGATCTTCCCTGCCTTCCCTCCTTAATTTCAAATGCATAAAAGAAACTGCACAACTGTTATTTTCTGGAGCACTTGAAATCTTGCTCCCTGGCATATGTGGTCAGTTTGGCTCAAATAAACTCTTATAAAAATTTTCTGCAGGTCTGGGCATTTCTCAGCTCCCAACGTCTCAACAAATCCCTGCATTACACATGCACAGAAGTGCTCTTCTGCAGATTTCTAGCATGGAAACTCAACGACGCTGTGTCTAATCCAAGGAAAAAATGGCTCAGCCTCACTCAGCATTACTCTCCTGGAATCGTGTGAATTATATCATCTGAACCCTGCTTGGAAATGAATGACCCAGCCTCTTTATATATGTGCACCGAACACCATTCATCACACATCTACCTACTAGTTGCTTTTCTACCTACTATTTCCTTTCGAGCCACTTCCCTGTGAAGTAGACAGAAAGTATTAGTCTCTATTTTTTTTTTTTGCATTTGAAGAAGACGAGGCAGTAAATGATTACAGAGGAAGGCCCAGAATCGTGTCTTCCGTGGCCTTTAAAGACAGACGTTCTCTAGTTGCAATTTCACGGTGCGCAGCCAAACAGTCGGTCCACATAAAGGACTTGTTATATCGCATTTAAGAGAATTTCCTAGGGTGAGAATACAGTTATGATGCATTTTTTTTTCTGTTTAAGGCTCATGCGGAGCTTAGTCTAGTACTGAGCCCGTTGTTTTCATTAGAGGTCCACTGTAAGGCTGGCAGTTGGAGACACTGTCAACCTTGCTGTTCAAAGTGTTCCCTAAGGTTGGGAGGGAGCCTTAGCCCGATATTTTTTATGCATTCCAGTTTGACCCATACGAAACCTCCAGGCAGCAGATACTAAAGGGAGGACCAGGTTACCTAGAGGTTGGCTTGTATTCCCATTTTATTTGACCTCGGGGCTTTTTTCTCCCGTACCCCTCTTGCCCTAGAGGAGGGGACAGGAGAGCAGAGAGCAAAAGTCTCTTTCGCTCTGAGAACTTGCGCTCGCTTAAGCTCGATCAGTCTCGTTTGGCTTTTTGCCTCACGGTGAACAGCGATGACGTACGACTAGCACGCTGGTGACAGGGAAGCTGACATCTGGGAGCAAGGACATTCGGCGGTATCTGGTGCTCGCAATCGGAGGTTCAGAACGTTTTCCTGACCGAGGAGAGAGGCAAGGACGCGGGCCGGGGCTGGGAGGAATGTCAAGGCAGGCCTTGCTTTCGCAATATTGCCATTTAATCTAACGCAGTTAGAGAACAAGATATTTTCCTTGGAAGGTTTCAGGGACTCGTAGGGCTTGTCTGACTCATGTTGGTGTCATTTTAGGAATTCAGGGTATTTTCAGTCACCTGGGACTCCAACCATTATTTTAAGAGCATTCTTTCTATGGGAAAATGTGTGCTGAGTTCTAAACACAGGACTTCCGAGGGGAGTTTTGGGAGCAGTGACGGTGTGAATTGTGTGCTTTCTAGGGGGTGCGGGGGCCGTGCAGGGCATGCTGGGAGACGTGGGCCTGAATGCTCACAGGGTGTTTTGAAAGGTTGGGGATTTTCTTATTCTGCTGAGCAGTGGAATAATTTGATTACACAGAGAGCCCTGAAGACAGCAGGATGGCTCCTTAATAATAATGACAATAAAATGGCAACCATGGATCGAGTGCTTGTGTGAGTTGTTTGATGTGCACTCATGTTTCAACCCTTATGATAACCCCCCAAACACAAATCTTATGCTCCAGACAAGAAACCTGCAGGTCAGAGGCGTTAAAGGACTTCGCCCACCTTCACACATTGAGCAACGTGTGAAGCCTGGCTCTTAAGCATCATGGAAAGAAGCAAACATGTGCAGCCAAGTGTGGCCTGTAGAGAGAGCCGGCATTTAAAAGGGGCAGCTTCGCCCCATTCCCTCCACAAAACCATGACTCAATGAGAAAGCGTAGAGGTTTCATTGTTCAGCTGGTCATAAACAATGACCCATTTAAATCAGACGACGGGGCCCTGTTCCATGGCCTTCCATTTGACGATCATAATAACCCGGTGAGATAAAGGGCAATCAGAGAGTAGGTGTACCCGAGACCCATTTTATAGAGGAAATGAATTAAAGCCCGGAGAATCCAAGTGAATAATCTAAACTCACACGATGAGAATGGCAAAGCCTGACCAGGAACCCTCCTGACTTGTTTTGGGTATATTTGAGCCAGTGTGGAGAATTAGTGGTACCTTAGGAGACGTTTAGGTCTCTGTTCTACAGGGTTGGAAGAGCTGCGTAAAGTGAGCTTGGTCAATTCCCACAAAATCGAGGCCATTGGGAAAGGTGTCCTGTGTGGGGGTCGCTGTCCCAGCCTCTTTGTTTGCTCAGAAGGGATGGAGGGCGCCAATCAGATGTTAGAAACAACACACGTTCAGAACAAACTGGACTCCGTTCTTTCACCGCTGACTTTGGGTCTCTAATGATGGCAGTCGTGGGGTAGCAGGAGAGATGAGAAAGGGCAGAGCGGTTGGGGTGGAGAAAGGCAGCAGGGGAATGGAGCTCTGTCTGTCTTTCCCCTTTGTCCTGACACTTCCTACTGTGGCAATTACTCCAGATTGTACTGAGTCCGTAAGGCATAGCAGCTGAAAGAGTCCATGGAGTCACGAAGACAGACTCTTCCAAGCTTTGGGACTTGGCAGACATGGGCTCAGACCACAGCTCTGCTACCTGCTCACCATGGTCCCATGAATAAGTGACGTGTGAAAGAAGAATATTAACACCTGTCCCACAGGACCCTCGTGAGGATTAACCTACAGCCTATAGAGAGTTCCTAGGAAAGTGCCTCGTACAGAGTGGATCATCAATAAATGGCAGATCCATTGCATTTTTCCTCTTGTGTCTTTGACACATGCGTTTTTCATCTGAGGCCCTGGAGGTTGAAAGTTGCTTCCAGGGATTTGAATGATTCTTGGAGAGTTTAGCTTTAACCCTGTGTCAGATTTCCTCAGTTTACCCAACAAGGTTTACTGAGCGCACACTGTCACCAGGAAGGCAGAGGCATTTGCAG